TCAATAAAATTACAAAATAAGAACAATATTGGCAAAAGCTATCACTCACCATTCAGGAGCTGATGATTTTGTAGCATTGCTTTGATACTTTAGTATGTATCCACCTTTTCCTTCTCCACTGCAATCATTTTAATAGCACAATCTCTATTACTTTCGGCCTGATTTTTCTCAAATTCTAAGTTCTTTTTAGCAAATAATAGTTTGGCACTCTCTAGAAGATTCTTCTTACTTAATGCCTCGACAGCATGTTCTCTGGCTTTCAGTTTCCTGCCTTCATGGGCGATTAACAACACACGGTGTTGGCGAGACAGTCTCAAGTGCTCCAACCACTCTGACCGCATACCATTCTTGGAGGCAGCTTCTCGAGACTCAGTGCCATGCTTCTTCTTTGGTTTCAAGCGGTGTGGCATTGTCACTGGGACTTGTGCTGAGGCAGAGGAGTGAGCCTCAGGGGCCGCAAGTGATGAAGAGCACTTTGCTTCCTCACCAGCAGCAATCTCCATAGGTGTTTTTGATTGGTGTATAATGTCATGTAGATGTTGTTCCTGCTGTGTGAGCTTTTTGACATCAATCCCTGAAGCGTGATTGTGAGCCATCTTGCTCTGTCTTGCACCGTTCACAGCGAGAAACTTGTCACGACACTGAGTATAAGTGTATGAGCTCTGGCATCGTTGATTTAAATCTTTAGTAATATCTTGCCAGGAAGCGTTAGAAATTTTATTTTGTTGTGCAAAGACAGGGCCACCTAACTCTATCAAATAACTGACCTCATGAGCTTTCTAGTCTGCCTTCTCAGACTTGACTGCGGCTGGTAGCTTAGATTGTTTGGGTCTGTTGAATGTGTTGTAAATTTGTGCGTGCTATCAGCTCCTGCTGGTGAGATTGCAAATACCTGGTGCGCAGAATCAAAAGACATTTTGGGTGATTGTGATGGCTGAGGTTGATGGCTTGAGGATGGAGACGATTGGGATGGCTGCGATAATTGTAATGGTTGAGAAAAATTTGGTTGATAAAAAGACTGTGACTGAGGAAGCGAGACAACACTCCTCATTTGATCCGGATGCATTTTGATAAACCGCTTCCCACTCCCATGTTGCAGAATTACCACCTAGAGAAACAGATACAGAGGCAAATGAGACACAGAATAATGGGGTATGGCTTGGCCCACATGTTTCCCAAAGCCCTTGGCTTTAAAAGGGGTTGATGAGCTGCAGTTAGGCTGCGCGATATAGCCGGAGCAGTGGATCATTCAGTTACTCTTTCTCAATACAACAAAAAAGAGAAAACTTGTCGAAATTATCAATTTCTTTGACCCATTCATACATTGATAACCCCACTTCCGACTCACGGCATGTACGCGTACACACAATAAGTAAGTATTTGGCCTATCTCACCAATATCTCACCTTTCTAACCGGAGTTTCCATTGCTGCACGTAGGGCAGATTAAATTAAGAAAAACTAGTGTGATTGAAATATATAATCAACAATAAACATTCTTCATTCACTCTGCCCACTCACTTTGCTCTTGACTCCCGCGCAATTGACTTATCCTTCCCCATTTCTTCAACCCACCACCCACACACGACGGGTGCTAAAGGTGCGGAGGTCGTATGACCCCCCAAAAGCGGGAGCGGCCCGCAGCTGGCTCTTTGCTCCCCACGCCCCCATCGGGCCGATTTCAATACTCCAATACCGGACCCGGGCCACGGTATATAATTCGCCCCTCCTGGGCCCCCGCCCTGAGGGCAGGGAGTGCAGCCTCGCTGCACGGTGTTAGGGGGCGGTGTTGCGGCCCCCTATTCCCGGCGCTTATCTCGCCGCGCCGAGCTGGCACACTGCCGGAGACATTGGGTCACTCCAGCAGGACGTCATAGTACACCAGGCCCGGGACCAACAGCCAGGAAAGGGCATGCGCAATCGTTATCACGGAGAACCCATTCCCTATCAGTCTTTGCGTCTGGGTGTTACTAAGCCCGACATCGGTGTAATTGTCGGCTAACTCCATCGCGCGCTCGAGCACGCAGGCCGGCATCTTCTCTCCCTTAACCTCCGTCCCTATCTCCGCCGCAAAGGTGTATTCTAGTACCCTATCTGAGTTTGGTGTTATAGTTGCGAACAACTCGGCACTAGGAACCAGAGTACGCGGGACGACCTCTCTCATGGTGCGCGGGGGGCATGTTTTTCCCCAGTCCACGGCGTACTCCTCGAAGGTATGCATCTCCGGGTCCAGCTCGGTATGCCACAGGAGACGCTTTCTCACCATGGGAGAAAAATGCAGCGAGTCAATCCTTGTGGGACTCACCCCCAGGCAGTGTGATATCGTTGCCTGGTCGTCGTCATCCATGTTACCAGTGTTCTCCAACACCCAGATGAAGGGGTACCCACGCCTGTTAGATGTTTTCTGGAGGGCGTCCCTGACCTCCCGGTACTTCTGAACAAATCTGCCACCTACGGGGAATTTCCCCCGCCTAGGGTTGACCCTGCTAAAGTCCTGGCAGGGAGTACCTGCTATAAGGAGGTTAACGGGCTGCGTTCTGTTCGACACATGAGCTTTTAATCAAACTTACGGCTGCTCCATTGTCAGCGAACGACCTTCTCTTTATGCCGCCTACCTTCAGTTGGCAGGTAAGCCCATTTACGCGAGGCCGCAATATTCTCCCCTCTGCGGGCTGTTTTCTGGGCTTCTTCTCGGTGGCATCTAGCGACGGCTCCTCGATGCCCCGTCCGTGTTTTCCACCCTTTTCCTCTCATTGTCGCAATCCCTGGTGACATGACCAGGTTCTTCACACCTGTAGCAGATGGTCTCCCTGCTGCCTTCCCGCTCACCGCGAGGCGTTGCCGACCTCGAGCTTCTTCCAATTTCGCCACCTCGGCGACCAATTTTCTTTTCATCTCCAGTTTGTTCCTATTCTCTTTTTGCTTCACTGCTAACTTTAATTTTTTATACTCTAATTCAGCTTTTCAAATCTTAATTTTGTCTTCTTGTATTTGCATGTGCTCTTCCATTACAGCCACTCGTTTTAGTTCGTAGCTAGTCCTAGCCTCCCTCCTTTCATCAGACTTGTTCAGGAAGTGGAGAAATGCAGCCTGCAAGTTAGTCCCAGCTCCAGCCTGGTTGGACCCAGTGCCATGTGGTTCCTTTCTCTTCTTTCTGTATGGTGTCATTGGAGAGGGTCCCACATTGGCACCTTGGGTGCAACTGGGGGAGGTAGGGGTGATGGCAGTGTCCCCCGTCACTACCTCACCTTCAGGGATAATGAAGGCTGTTTAAGGGTTAGCTTGGCGCTCTCTTCGTATAGGAACTTTTCACATGTATTAAGATTTAGTGGAGCCCCCCTCGAGGAACGACTTGCAGTTGTCTTGCGGCTGTAGCTACGCAATAAATTACCCCATTTGGTCTGGTACTGCTCGGAATTCCACGGTATGCCTGGAGTTTCTTGCGCCACTTGCCTCCAGAACTTCACACCTGAGATATGTGTCACTTTCCCACCTTTTTTCCTCATTACTGTCTCAATTAATAATTTCACTTCACTTTCCTTCCAGGAACATTTTTCCTCTGCAGGGCGGCCTGGTTGGGGTTCGGGTTCAGGTTCGGGTTGATGTTGAGATTGAGATGATCCTGCTGAAGGAGAACATAATGTAGATAAATAGGCATTAAAGTTGTGGGAGAGACTGCGTTCAATGAGATATATATTTACCTTGTGATGGTTTTGGTGGCAGGCGTATAAGGCCCTGCTTCAACATTTCTTGGATCCTACTCCAGGTCACCACCACGACCTAGAGGAATGAAGATATTTTATCATTCAATGAAATGCTAAGGCTCATTTATCAACTCAAAGCCCACGGTGCGTATGAATGCGAGGTTATTGATGCAAACAGATCTTCATTTACATTCAGAAATTGAATGTGCACTTTGCTCCGACTCTTACCTTAGGTTTATTGGTGTTCATGATGCGCGTATGATCAGTTAAATCGGAGAAAAGTTCCTAATTCTACACAAAAACACAGAAACTTTTCTTCCTTCAACCTGACCAACGCTCTCACTCCGCAGCCGTTGCCCGCTTCTTTCTTCTTGATTTCTTCGCGAACCATGCCCAACCGGCAATTTTGGCCGCTGTCGCTGGCGGTCGACCGTGTTGGGTTACCACGCCGAATGGAAAGCACATCCGGCGACCAGGGTCGACCATGGTCGATCACGGTTGGCGAATGAAAAGCACCCAAGTGCCTCCAAAGTCAAGTATGCAGAGATCAACAAAAAGCAGATTCGTCGTTGATCAGCGACCGTTTTCTGATCCGTCGTTGCTCAGCGACCGCTTTTTGATCCGCCTTTGTCGCACGGATGCGTCGTTATACCAAAAAAGAACTATGAAAGGCTTCTTCCGTTCATTGTAAAAATTGGCAAAAAGTACTGCCTGTGGAATAGCAATTAACGACTTATTGCCATTGGGCTTTTGTCCTATTGTCCTGGCATTGCCACAAAATGGAGTACTTTCATTGCCTCGGGAGAAACAGTGTGCTGGTGCGCGACAAGATGCGTAACGGTTTATTGTGTACCAAACCCTAACTCGGTTTCCGGGTGGGCCTGCCGCCTGCTTTTGTCCTTTGACGTATGGAAATGCTGTAGTGAGGGATGTAACCGCGCTAAACTCTTTTGCTTTTAAAACGAATAAGACATTAAATACCAGCGCAATTTGTAGCTTGCCGCTCTTATTAGGCAAGGGACGGTTTTTGTGGTATTTCTCCATTCCAATGGGGCGCCTTTTCCACACCTTCCATACCAAATTGTTAACAATAATGACTCAATGCCACATCATACTTTTAGCAACTACCACCTGGGTCCACATCTTGCAAGATGCAATTTTTTAAATGCTGGGTAGTAACAAATGGGTATCCTCTGCTGGACAAATTATTACTTTGTCAGACTATAGATACAAATTTGTCACTACACAGGGTTCAAAGTTGAATCTTGCAAGATGTCCACAGAGACGCATCTAGCACTGGACAAAAATTGACCTTTGTAATTTAGAGTGTATCGTTTTACGTTCACGAGTTAACCCTTGCGAGGCCACATAAAAAGTGATTCATCCAATTGAAAGTTGCTAAAATTCATCTGATGTGCTTAACAATGCATCTTTCGCTGCTCTGCAGCCGAAGAGCGGTTTTGCGTAGTTATAGATAACCACACTACAGAGCAATGGACTTCTTTTGTCCACAGCAAGATGCGTTTATAAGCACATCTTAACAGGGTGCATTTTTACATCTTGCCAATGACAAATTTGCAACATATTCATTGACAATTTTTATTTTTTGTCCACCGATAAGATGCAAATTTGTCATTTGAAAGGTGTAAAAATGCATCCTGCGCTAAAAACTCATCTTGCTGTGAAAAAAAAGTCCATTGAAATTTAGTGTGCCACATACGTTACCACACTTACAGCTTTTGCGGGGCATTTAAAGGTTGGCTGTGTACTCTCAAGAATTTGAGACCACAACATGTGCTTTAAAACGAGGAGGTTGCAGATAGCAGTCCCCCAAGAAAGAGTTTGATAATATTCACACAGGTTTGGTGATATGGCACCCAAACAGCGATGAAAAACAAATGATACCTGCAAAGAAATTAAAAGGCATTTCTTGTAGAACCTTCAAAACTATGACGACGTTGAATCGACGACGAGTCGTGTCACGTAGGTTACAGCACACTAAATGGAAAAGAAAAATGTTGTATCGTATTTTGTAGATGCGTTCTTAAGCAAATCTCTAGCTGATGCAAATTTTCACCAGTAGTAGACACAAATAAAGTCATTTGTACCTAGTCTAGGTACAAATTGTAACTTTTAAGACACAAATTTGCACCCGCTACAGATGTGCTTAAGAACGCATCTCTCCTAGGTACGGGATTGTCCTTTCCCCATTTAAAGTATGTGTCAGTTGCTTTATAACGTGACGTCACTGCCAAATAATAAAAAAAAACGACGGGTCCCATTAACGTTCTTCGACCTTACCGCGACGCTGCAACGTCGTCCCATTTCCCAGCGACGTTCTAACGTCATCCGATCTCCCAGTGTCTCTCAAGCGAGGTCTGATCTCCCTTTGACGCGCGCTCTACTGCGCTGCTCTGTTTTAATTACGAGTGGGGCAATATCAGTGGTTAAAAAATCGTGAAAATTGCCTGTTGTTCGTAAAAGATGAAGGAACACATGGACAATTGGCGATATTTACGATTTTTCTTCCACTGATTTTGCTTCAGTCGTAGTTAGAAGAAGGCAGCGCTGCAGAGCGCGAGGAGATCGGATGACGTTAGAATATCACGGGGAAATCGGACGACGTTGGAACGTTGTGGGGTAATCGGACAATGGTAGTAGGACCCGCCGGAAAGGACTCACGGGATACTCACAGTATTACAAAATCTGAAGTGTTTTTTTTTTTTTGTTCCTAGAAAGTCACATTTTTGTTCACATCTGTACCAGATAGACTGTAGTATAAGGCACAAATGACGAATTCGCATCGCTATCATGGACGAAACGAAAAGTTGTCCCAGCTGTCCATTTGAAGATGCAAAGTTTTTACTGGCCAGATTCAGTATGGCGTCTGATCAAGATAAGCTCAAAAATGCGACTTTCTAGGGCCAATAAAAGGTCCTTCAGATGTAGTGTGTAGGTACGGGTGGTGATGTTACCTGAAGGCGTCACGGCTAGTCTGACACCCGCTTTGTGAAAAGTCTTACGACTTAGGCAGCACAAATATTTAATCTCACCTTAGAGAGGACTTTTGCTGGCCTTAAAAGATCGAATTCCAAGTACGCGTAGACTCCCCCTCCTTTGTTCATAAACAAAGTCACGTTTGTGAAACGGAAGTCATGCTTCTTTTCAGGGCAGTCTCCATGGTTAAAGAAGTTTGCGACAAGTCTTGTTTTCATCTGAAAATGACAAATTCACACTGCACTTTGTTGATCTAACTTCTGACTATTGCCCCACCTTCGGACTTTTGGGGAGCCCGTCTATAATCAACATCTAGTTGCTAACTTTTGTCCAAGTAACCTAAAAATGAAAAAGTAACAAAATTCAAAGTTGCAACTCAGGAAATAAAGATTCTGTAGTAGGCTTCCCTCCTCAATTTTATCAATTATTTTTTTCTATAGTTAACATTGTGTTTTGAGCCACTTAAGCAGTACTGTCTAGGTAGGTCTCTTTTACGCTGTCTCCTCCGAAGAACTCTGGTTCCTGCTGAACCTGTGGTTCAGTTGAAACTTTTGAGCTGATAAAATGCATCAAATGGACATTGTGAATATGCTAACACGATGGGGTAGTGTCATCGAAAATGATTTCATTGATATATGTGAGAGCCCATGACACAGCTGGGACAGATATACATGCATGGGAATGTATATATAACATTTATCAAAACATCAAACAACTCTATATTCCTTCTCAGTATTTTTTTTCTTGGCTCTTAACCAAATAGCACATTCAAATCTCGAGGCCACAAGGTTTCCATCTGAATTGCATTATCGTGCCTAACAAATAACCCTCCTCCATTTGTAGTAAGAGATCAATTAGACGTTTCACTCGTCTGTTAGGAACCCGCTTCAAGTAAACTGATTTCAAAATATTATGGAAGGACTCCCATTACACAGTTGTGTCCGCACCACCAAAAAAGTGTTTCCTAAAGCACATGACCCAACACATCGACGCGTCCCAACAACAATGTCCTTTGAAAGTAAAGGAAAACTTGAATATGTTCATAGTACTGCTTTTAATAAAATAGTTTAATAGCAGTACAATGGAGGAACTTTTACCTTTCATGGAAAATTATTAAGTACGAACTGAAGAACAAACAAAATGGAACTTCATAGCAAAAGAAAAGAACAATAATAAGTATGAAACAAAAACAAGTAACACATCAAGAACATGACACATAAGCAGCTAAATCTATCTCTTAAAAGATGACAGTATAATACTTTGGTAGGCTTACCGAAAAGTTTGGTAGTACGTATCAAGAAATAAATAGTGATAAATAAAATGTTAAGGAGGAAACAAATTAAGCTAACATTAATATGAAAAAGAAAAGAAATGCTCTTAAAAGTATCACAGTCTCATATCACAGGAACTTAGCATTTCATGGGAGACAAAAAATTTGCCAATTTATGTTGGGGGGGGGGGGGTAGACAACAGGGATTTGTCAAAATGCCATAAACATGAATCACAGGCTGAAATTGTTATGAGGGCCTACTTGGTGACAATTGAATATAATGTGATGCACCATGCACATCAAAGAAGGCCGTCATAACAATGATTCCAGTTACTTACATCATTTCAATAGATCCCTGTTGCAGGAATAAACAATCAACTTTTATTGGACTATGTAAAAGATATTTGGAGGCGTGAAATTTGTAGATGCACCAATTTCTATAATATATCTTGTAATGCCAAGCTGTGACAGTGACTGTAGAAAATTAAAAAAACTAAAAACCTATTTATAATCTTACAACTGGCAAACAAATCTAATATTACTGCAAATGGTGCATGTTCTCAATCCTTGCCTTACCCTATCTCTTACTCTACTATTATATTAGACCGAGGTCCCTCTTCAATTTTTAAAGCTCCAGCTCTCGCTTTTGCTTTTCTAAATTGAAGAGGGCATCCCTCCTCTCCTCCTCCTCTCTGGTGTTCCTCAGGTCCTCCTCCTTCTTCCTCCTCTCCTCCTCCTCCAGAAGCCTCTTCTCTGCCTCCAGGGTGGCTGAGTTAAGCGGCGCCTCTTTTGGTCTTCTGGCTCCGCTCCAACTCTGCCTCCATGTCCGACTTCCTCTTCGCTAGTGTGATGACAGGAGAGGTCTGTGAGGTTCCAGCAGCAAGGTCCTGGGAAGTGACAGGCAACTCCTGACTGCTGGTGGAAGGCGAGGACATTTGTAAGGGCACTCGCTTTGCTAATCAACAGGTGCCTCGGTGCATGAGACCCTCAATTGTGAGGGCTCAACATCTTTGGTGTAGAGTGGGGCACCTGTATGTTTTGGAAATTCATTTGCAAAGAAATAAATTCTACAATGAGAAAATAGACCTGTGCACAAACTAACAATGTAATGAAAACCTATACAATAGTACTTACATTTGGGATTTCACCGTCGGGGAACTACAAAACGATCATATCAGCATTCAGGGAGTCAGCAGTACACTCTGCTGCAGGTGCACCAGCACCACAGTGCTCTTCTTGCTGCACCTGCTGCTGTACTGCACTGCTGCTCCTGTCCCCATCATAAGAACTCTCGAGGCCAGTGCCCGACTCTCTGATAATTGCCAAAATTTGCACTTCCCGAGGCGTTAAATCTCTAGCGTCAGCCTCCACCTAAAATAAAGTAATGTGTAATGAAAGAACCTTACCATTTCTCAAGCCCTGGTCAAGGAGTGACAAAGAAATGTTGTGCTTACCAGTCTTGAACAATTCCGACTTCTGGAGGCTAGCAGCAGTCTTCGCAAGACCCTTCAGATTGCCCGAGAGATTTTTAAGATTTTTCGAAGTACGCGTTGTGAAGCCTGACCTACTATTGAAAGCTTGCGGAGCCAACTCCAATGTCTCATTCTTTTCTCTAGTAGTCAACGCATCAGCCTTTCTTGGCGCAAGGACCAACCTAACCTCGTACACTATCGACACAAGCAAGTCCTTTTCACTTTCTGTGAAGTTTACTGTTCTTTCCGTTTTATCTTTGGGGTCCCGAAGGGTTTTGCGAGTACTGCCACAGCGTGCCATCGCGCTTGGTGCTCGAAGAATGAATGAGCAGAATAATAGGCGTGTTTTTGTTCCCCTACCACGGCTACCGCTCGTCTTTCCGTTCGTGTTTGTAACCAGCCTTTGGTTGCAACTTGTTCTGTGCTGTTTTCCTGCTTCGAAACAAAGCAGAAAAACAATAGGGAACAAGATGTCAACATTGCTGGTAGGCTGACTGTGATGTGAAGTGTACTGGATTTGTGATATTTTTGTTCCCTGTTGTTTTTCTGCTTTGAAAGAAAATATACAAAATTACCAAAAGGTGCTGTTATCCATTCATTTTATTCTGTAAATTTTATATTGTAGCACAAGGATCCAAAATTATACCATGGTCAAAATTTACTAAGTAGTAAAGTACCACAAACCTCAGAATGCTCTACATATTTCATCTCTTTTGTCATCTCCAATGCGCTTACTTTCTGCATCAGCCACTCCACCAAAACCATTAGCATTGAGCATCCGTACATTCTGAGCCATATCCTGAATAACAGTATCATTGTGCAAATAGCAAAAATTGTGCAAAACACAAGCTGCCAAAACAAAATTGGAATCTTTGCCAACATCTTTGAGGGTCAGGAAGAGCAGACGTCACCACCGACCTTTTAAAAGTCCAAAAGTGTGTTCAATAACTACTCTTGTAACACTGTGCTTATAATTGTACCTTCTTTGCATCCTTGTCAAATTTCCATACTTGATGGCGTCCCGCGGGGCTCTGCTCCTTCCGGGTCCACTGGTGGCCGCCACGGTCTCCACGCCAGTGCTTCCCTCTGGTGGCCGCCATGCTGGAGCTGCCTTGGCGCGAGTTTTGCGCGGTGAATTTGAAGACCTTGTGGCTTTCCTTGTTGGCCGCGTCGATTTCTTCAACTCTAGCCTCCTTGAGCTGCTCCTCCACCACGACGGAGACCTGGAGCGACGGCTCCTCCTCGCCCGATGATGCGACGGCACATGTCCTCTCGATGAGCTGGCGCAGGTGACGCATTTCTGGTCGCAGGTTCCGCAGCAAGAGGATTGCCGTCAGCTCGTCTTCCACCGGCTTTCCCGTGGCAGCGATTGAGGAGACTGCCTCCTTGACCGCCATGACGTAGTCTCGTAGGCTGCTGTAATTCTTGTGCCTGATTTCAAACAGGTCGTACACGAGGTTTATACGCCGGTGAACACCCTTGTCCTCGTACACGGAGGCAAGGGCATCCCATGCTTCTCTTGCGTAGTTCGTGTCCAGGATGTGGGTCAGCACGGCTGGTTCCAGCGTGGTGACGATGATGCTGCTGGCATCCCGGTCATCTATCATTTCGTCGGCCTGGGGCTGATCACGAACATTTTGTGGCGGCAATGCTTCCAGACACTGAAGCATGCCGCCTTGCCGGAGGTGGACCTTCACAAGGAATTTCCAGGCGTCTTACTTGGAGGCGACGCAGGCCTTCCAGTTTTCGGCCCCTTTTAGTTTCTCAATGTCTGAGACGTTAATGTGTCTTGGCACGTGATGGAATTTCACTATCTTGCCGGCTCACTTGCCCGTTTCGCCTGGTGCTGGAAGCCATCTTGAGCACTAGCACTAACACACGCGCGCGCACTTATTTATCACAATAGTTCACTCACACTTCACAGATTTGCCATTTTTCACTTGCACAGTGGAAACGTGTCACCTGGAGTCCATAACCTGTTGTTATTTGAAGTAATATTTTAGAGTCTGATGTAATTCGATAGTTAAGACGAAGGGTCAACGAAGTAAACACGGTAGCTGCTGGAGCGGAAGTGATGGTTTATTTGAGGTCCTTACTCCAGGCGGGAGGCGACAAGGCGGTGACATCAAGGAACGGACAGTTATGTGTATTTACAAGAAGGCAGTGAACATGGAGGGACAATTTGAAGATGTCGCCAGGATTGATCAGTAATTAATAATAAGTATAAATAGATGATTAATTACAACAACAAGGTGGTAGTTGTCAT